CAAGAAACAGCAAGTGGCAAAAGCTGAACTAAGGTTCAAGACGAATTCTCCCTTAAACATTTTCAAATAAAACTTCTAATTCCAGATATTTTTTTTTTTATTCCTGAAATGTCACTGGATTATGAATACAGAAATTTCCAGATATTTTTTTTGCATCTCCAGTTTAGTCTTCACCAAACTTAACCGAAGCTGTTCATCTCAACACCACCAAAGTCCTTTATTATTTGAGTGCATATGATGGGGCCTCTGGGAGAGTTTTCAAGATTCTAAATCTCAGATTTGTGGACATACATCAAAGTCTAACTCCTGTGCTTCAAAGGAACCTTATCTGGCATAGCATATAGTTTGAAGATGTTGGAACAATGTCCAACAAGAAAATTAAAGCTCTTGGCTTAAAAGTGGAGAGGTCTGGACACCAACATTGACCTACCAAAGGAAGAAGTCTGATTTAAAGGAGCATGTGGGTGAAAGGGGAAGGCAGGAAGGGAATGACAAAACATGCAGCTTAAAAACAAGTGAGATGTGGCATGGCAAAACCCAGCCAGCTTCTCTGATTTTGACGCAGTGTAACATAGAGGATTAGACATTGGTATGAGATGCAGAAAAAAACCTCTTCCAAATCAGCCCAAAATTGAGACCAAACCCTGACTTTTCACCTTGGAATCATGGAATGGCCTGGGTTGAAAGGTATCTTCAAGACCATTTAGTTCCAATCCCTCTGTCATGGGCTGGTGGCTCAGAGCTCCATCCAGCCTGGCATTGCACACTTACAGGGAAGGGGCATCCAGAGTTTCTCCAGGCAACCTGTTCTAGTGACTCACCACCTTTACAGTAAAGATTTTTTTTCCTTAATATCTTATCTAAGCCTACTCTCTTTCAGTTTGAATCCATTCCCCCTGTTACTCCATGATCTTGTAAATGCTCTTTCCATCTTTCTTGCGGATTCTCTTCAGGTACTGGAAGACTGCAATTAGATCACTCCAAAGCTTTACTTCCCTAGGCTGAACAATCTTCCCAGTCCTTTACCCAAGATGTGAGGACAGAAGAACAAGGATCAGTTGCTATCTGTCTGCTAAGGTGCTGTAAACTAAAGGGTCCATATAGATACTTCTGAGCAGCTGCGAACTATTTTTTACTCTTCCATTGTCTGTAAACTGAAAACATTTAGTCCCTGCTGTTTGCTTTTTTTGACTTCTCCTAAAACTTAAAGGAAAACTCTACAAAGATTTAGGATCAATTAGAGCGTGCATTTTGTTAAACATGGTCAAAAAAAATTCTAACCAAACTTATTTAGGAGTTTCCTTGCTATCATCTGTTACTCACTGGCAAGAAAGCCTGAAGAACACTTTGCAAGTATATGAGTTTTGCTGTTTGCAAGCAATGAGTACCTACACAGGCCTTCTGATTCCAGATGGTGAAAGAACTTTGGTGGTCTTCGAAAGTGCGAGATGTAATAACCCACAGAACATCCCAAAAAGAGGCACTGGTGAGCATCACTGAAATAGTTTTTCTCCCTATTTCTAAAATTCATACCCATGATGCTCCTCTTTAAGGGACATGTATTGATGAGCCTAAATTCTAAAATATAGAGAACTGCAGACAACTATGATAAAAGAGGACCAAGGAAGACACAGCAGAGCTTTCCCTTGGAAATGTGCAGTGTTATTGTGCATTGTATCTTGCTGTCAGCCTTACATTTCAGAACTAAGTACGACACCTCAAGCATGCCCGCTAAACCAAATTTGAATAAAAATTCATATTACAGCAGTTCTGTTACCAGGAAACCTCTATTAACGATGTCCAATTTTGCTCCAATATACATACCCAATGCTTAAGTGCATTGCAGTCTGTATTATTTCTCTGTGTGTCTGTGTGCCTGCTAAGATTTATAGAGTATAACCATTCAATTGACACTGCATTGGAAAAGAAAGCTCTGCAAATACAATGAATGTACAGAAAAATCTCTCCTGTAAGAAAGCAGAGGAAACTTCTTTTTGCAATATATTGTATGTAAAGCAGATGTTGATGCTGCTTTGAATGTTTCATGGGGGTTTTGATAGCATCTAATTTGCCTGCACTATTTACAGCATCAGTAAAAAACGTTCTTCATTTTACAAACGAAAAAGTGTCAGAGAACTAAGTCACATGCTTGAGAATTGAGGAGTTTTGCAAGTTCAGTCCCCTTGGTATTTTCAGGGAGATGCAATATAAAAAAAACTTAAGAAAAAAAATCATGTTCACAGACTGCTTTTAATCACCTTTTCAAATCATCTTAGCTTTTCAGTTTGTGAGGTACATAAATTTAATTGATCATATGGGAAGGAGACTTTTGGAAAGAACTTTAGCCTCATTTGCTCTTTATGGTCACTCCTGTTTGGGCTCTTGAGCATTTTTCTGTGCTGAGGGAATCGTGTCTCGTACTAAACATCCTGGTGAGCTTAGTGGGAGTAAAAGGGACTTTCATAGCCCCTTCTAAAATCAGGTTCTTTACATCGGTTACATCTGGGTCAGAGATAGATTTCAAGGCCATGTCACAAATATAATTGTGCACATATATATATCTCCCTCAAAATACCTCATTATATGTCTCACCTCAGCTGGAATGACTTTCCAAATTCTGTGCTTAAAAGAGGGTTTCTTTTTCAGATCATATATTCATTGTTGGATGCAAAGGGAATTATAAGAGTAGATTGTAGGCAATTACCACATGTAGTCTGTTGTTAAAATATTAGCTATTAGGTAATTTAAGATTCCAGAAAAAGTAAATAAAAAAATCCTCAACCCTTCCTGCAAAGTGCTCAGTATAAGAAAAAAATGAAAACTTGTCTAATACAAGTCATATTTGAGGGATGCTAAAAGTCTTTCTAATGACAAGCTGATCAGAAATACTAAGTGAAATTGTAATTTCTTCCTCTTCTAATTAACTTGATTCTCCAGGATGTCCTCATACCTTCAGCAACCCTTCCGTTGCACTTCATTTAAGGTGTTTCCCTACTTTTGTCACATTAGATAGGTACAAAAGCACAGCATACATACATGCTTTTTAAAAAGCTGCATATTTGTCCAAAGTAAAATTATTATAATAAGCTCTAGCTCCAGACTTGCAGCATGATTCCAATGGCTAAGTTCCAGGTTTTCACTCAGAGCACAAGGCTTCAAACCTAAGTGATAATGGACCAATTTCTAACAAGCATCACCCTTTTCTAAATATTAAAGTATATTACACACAGTGACAAACCTCCCAAATGCTTCATCATGCAAGAGCATTTCACTCTTTTCTTGCAACTTCCCCTCGTACTGTTAGTTCTCCAACTGTTCAAATAGAAACTCTGTTTTGGTAGCAGCTTGTTGAGAGAACTCCGTGTTTTCCCAGTATGTACTTGAAGAAGATTAATGAGTCTCACTAACATGCCAAGTCAATCTGCTCCCTCCTGTCAATCAGCTCCCATGGAACAAGTGTGTCTGTCTCACCGGCTATATTTTCATGCAGATAGACTGCAAAAGTTTAATTAAAACACTAACCACAACTGATCATGAAATACACTCCAGAACGCTATTTAAGAAATAACTGGATATGTATTAGATAAGCCTTTTTCTGAAGAACTTTTCCTCCAAGGGGTCAGTGAGGACAAAGGGAAGAATAAACAATATGAATAGTTTGACAGAGTAATTCTTATGATTGAATTTTGGTTTCTGCTGTCAGCAGGTTCAGCTTATTGTAAAAAATGATATTGGCTTGCAACATCCTACTTGACTATTGTCCAAGCATAAATAATTTACATTTAAAAAGAAGTACAGTATTGCTTTTAGCTTGACAAGTGGAGGGAGGCTGGGGGAGAAGGAAAAATTTTGTAAGTTAGGAATGCAGATGGTAATTTTTGCAAGACTGACTTTTCACGTCAGCAAGCAATAAGGTGTCAGCCCATTCCATTATAACCATTTTTAAAGAAAGAAATGAAGAAACAATATGGGAGTTTCTGATTTTTTTTAAAATTTGTGGAGTTCCAGTGTTTGGAAGACACTGTCATCACTGGTGCAAGTGAGAAACTGTGGAGTGGTACAGTGCTGCCTACCCTACATTACACAAGATCTGGAAAAGTGGAGACTTCAGGTCTCAAACAGCTAAATCTGACATATCCCAGGTTAACTGAGTGATGTAGAGAATGGATAAATTAGCCAGCACAGTTAAGAGCTGACATGGTGATGGGAACAGTCCTTTGAGAAGGCAGTAATAGGAGGCAGTGGAACACCCAAAGGGAAGCCAGTCATTTTAGGGGAAAAAAACTGGAGGACTGTAGCAGAAGAAAAGAAAAGGATGAAAACTCATCTGTGGAAGACTGAGGACCACTTGAAGAGGACAAAACCCTGGAAGTCTGACACCCATTTCTACTGTCGTTACTCAAGTTTTGCAGTGATTAAGCGCTATCCTCAAAACACAAAATTAGAATAAATATGTAGGATGAAAAGCATGTAAATATATATGTATGTATGTATATTTCTAGAATAGATTGTTAAAAAGTGTAATTTCTCTTGTCCACTGAAGTGGGTCAGCTTTTAATCTGTTTTCTAGTTAGAAAAATTATCTAAAAGGAATGAAAACTCAGTAGGGCCCAGAAAAACAAAAAGAGTTAAGGCACTGCAGACACTTCCAGAGCTGAAACACATTTATTTTTTCATAAACAGCAAATGTTGGTGAATTGGTCTAATATGAGAACACTAAGAACAAGGAATGATTACCCTTGCTGAGGTAGTACATCACTGAGGGAAAAACAACAGCAGTCACGTGCCCTGTTTCGGAGACCATACATGGAGTCTCTAAACAGTCATTGGAAGAGGAGCTGGAGTATCCCATCCTTTCTAGTGTTGAAGGCATAACCAAAATATTGAAAAAGGTTTCAGTGGGCAAAGTTCTTACAGGGTCATGGGACTTTGTCCTCTACCACAACAGCTGCTGGTAGCAGCTCTGGCACGGTCCAGTTGCTTTTCTGGCTTTTTTTTCCCCTACATTTATAGGCCAAAACTTCTGATAGACCCAGCCTGTTGTCAGTGGAATTTATTAGGTTGATCTTCATAGTCCTTCTGGATGCAGGCTCTCACTTTAGTCCTCTAGCCATCTTCCAGTTTCTCTGCCATATCATCTTCTTTTGATCCACTTGAGCAGGTGGAACTTGTTTGGAACTTGCACAGTGAAAACCTCCTGGATCAAGGTCTCTCTCTATAGCTCTGAGAGGAAAACCAAACCAACAATCATGTAATTCATTTGCATGATCAGAAGGACAGAAGATAATACCCCGCATCATCAATATGCACATATGGGCTACTGAGACTTCTACCCACAGGTCAAATTTTGTGACTTTGGGGCCCAAATCTGATTGTGTTACCTTGGAGATCAAAGAAAGAATAGGACATCAGAAAGCTAAGAGTAAATGTCTGAAAGTCAACTAGAAATGACCAAGAACCTCTTGCATTTTGGTAATCTATAGGTTATGCTGCTGGGATTGGAGAAGGGAGTGATGGAGCTGAAAACTGTTTTTGTGGTAGGAATATATTATTTCAGGAAGAATCCATGAGAGATGAGGGTGACACTGTGCTCCTGCCCCTCATATACCCATCAATGCTGGGCTGTTACCATCTCATGTTCTCATACTGCCCAATGAGGGTGCTACGCAGAAGTATTTCCAGACTTAAGGACTAATCTGGATCCTGCCATGGGAAAGGTATGTACAGGGACAGGAAAAAGGGAGGACTGTGATTTGAAATGGGATGACATTTCTACTACCGTTCACTATCAGACCTGGGAATGTCAGCAGAAGATGGAATTTGTTGTGCTGAAAGAGGTACATGACTGGAGACACAGGGGAGAGAAATGGAGATAAGAAAGGGCTGCTGCTGCTGCTGTGTATTACTGGGCAAAGATCTAAATCTGCAGCTAATTGACTTCATGGTCTTTTGGAACACAGGTTTTAACCTTTTAGGAGCTCTGGAACTGGCCAGTTTCAGACATGCATTTGTTGTTTGGAGAGGGAGACCCAGCAGGACGTGTCAGTCTGGTGTATGGGGCTGGCAAAGCTGGGCAGCAACATCTCTAGTCATGATACAGCTGCTTACTTGGAGAACTTTCACCTGGCTGCATTGACGCCCTTCTGTTCTGCTGCCCAGTGAAATGAAGTTTGTGATTTTAAGTAGTTAGAGGTCCAGAGCAGGTTGAAAAAGGTAGCAATTCCTGAAGTGATGGTGGGAAGATTTAACTGCTGGTGCAGTTGCCATGCCCACAGAGCTACATATGTCATCTGGATCAATGTGCCTCCCACTCATATTCCCCCTCTTCATGTCCCCTCTACCAGAAAGTACTCACCAGAGCCATCTCGTGGGATGTGGAAGAGGTCTGGCTGTACCTGGAGAGGTCTGTGTCCTGGACAATGCCACCAGGTCCAAGTTTGGAGGTAGGATGAGCCTGAGGTGTGTTGAGGTTCCCTTGATGACGTGGCCCTGGGACTCCTGCTGGACACTCAGCTCTGCCCTGCTGACAAGAGTCTGTGAACACTTTAGCATTCCCTGGTGTCCAGTCATCCAAGTATCTTGTGAAAACCATCTTCAAAAGGAAAAGTGTATCTTACAGTCATAATTGGCTTAGTCCTTTCTCTAAGAGTATATCTTTCTTCACCTTTTGTTTTTGAACTGAGCACTGCTCTGTTGATGGAATCTTCAGCCTGGCTTCTCAAAGTAATGTTTAATTTTCCAGAGAGTTTTTCCATTGGTCTTCTCAGACAGAACCCCACACCATTGTTCCATCTAAGGGCCAGTCTCAGTCCTTCCTCATGACCTGCTGTAGCTGTAACGGTGGAGAGTTCCTTCACTGAAAGTAGATGGTCTTGGGATGGGGTGAGTGACAGAGCAAGAGAAGTTGTGATGCTGCTGTTACATCTACAGAACCTGAGTGTAATGACCCCACCATGAAGAACTTTTCCTCCCAACTTGCCTACCTAGGGCTCAGGATGGAACGCAAGGAACTGAGGAGTCTGGACTGGAGTGCAAACTGAAACTTAAATGTGTGGATGGCTTATACATGATTTTTGTTACTTGAGAGCCCGATGGCATGTGTTTATAGGGAACAATAAATGATTGTGTCTGCTGGGAGCAACAAAGAGCTGTCTCTTCAAGTGTCCCACGTATCAGGGATGCAGAGCAAGGAAAACCTTCAAAGAAGCTGCAGAGTCCACAGCACTCTGCTGAATCCAGCAAGGGAGCAGTTTCTCTCCTCCAAGGTTCCCAGGACTAATTGGACTAGAAGAGTTCTCCTCTCCAAGGTTTTAGTTCACCTATTTCCTTTAATATTAGCAGTCAAAACATCTCTTGTTGAGGATAGAATAACATTTCATGAGTTTATTATGTAGGTGTATATATATATTTCTTCCCTGAAGTTCCAAGTAGGACGTCCTGAGAAAAGACTTAAGAAAGTGTGGTGTTTTTTTGTTGTTGGTATTTATTTATTTATTTATTTATTTATTTTAATATTTGTTATTCTTGAAACTGGGGCTTTTGCTGGCAACACAGGAAAGGCTCTTATCGAAAATAATGCCTGCAGCACAGATCATTAAAAATGTCATATACATGAATAAAGAGCTTGATAATTTAATTGTGGTATTGAATAACTGTGGATGCCCAACACATGCCTATATAAAATACATGTTTGTGTTGTACAGTGTGGTTAGAATATGTCTAGATGCACCTGGTATGCAATTTTAAAGTGTTCTTTAAATTGCTGGTTATATCTTTAGGCAGGTTCTAGTGTATTAATAGAACTTGTTGATTGATAAAAAATAATTGTGAGTCCAAGTTTGCACAGTATTGTCAAACTGAAATATTTACCTGAAAGGTAGTAAGTTTTAAACAAGGGAGTTAAAAAAACATGAAATAAAAAGCATAATATGAAAAAGAACTAGGAAATCTAATTTAGCATTAAACACTTCTAGGAAAATTAACCCTCATTTGTGCTCACACTATTCAACAAGGGAAAGCCAGATATTTCTCAGTCATAGAGCAGGTCTTAAGAACTATCCACTTCTCATTCCCAGACTGGATCTCATTCTTCCTGGAAGACAATTTTTTTGTAATCAAGTGAGATCAATACCTCGATTTATCTGAAAAACACATTTAAGCAAGGCAAAAAACTGTGATAGGAATTAATGAGGACTGATTATGTAGGGGATTTTTAACATTTCATTTTTCTTTAGGGAGGTGAGAGAGGTTCTGATTAATTCTAGCTTTTCCTTCTCTGTCCTGTAACAGATCAAATATATTAAATTGACACAGAATTACCTATTCTACTTAAAAAAAAAAAAAAAAAAGCCAGATATATTCTCTATTCACCTTACTGCATGATAAACAAGACACAAACAATTCAGACGTGCCAGGTGCAAACTTCCTGCTGCTTTTTCTGCGAAATTTCAAGACAAGACTTCAGTAAAGGCCATTCAATATATATCTGCTGAACCTAATCAGAGCAATTTAAACTCTGAAACTAGCTTTGCATGTCTGCAATGGAACAAACCTGATACCTGCTTATAGCACTCCAGCACTTGGGCTCTAAAAAGCATAATCAAAATGTTCCATGAGGTGTAACTTGCACAACTCTACTTCCTTAATAATTAAAGAAACGCCTCAGACTCTGTGCACATGCTGCAGCAGGAATGGTGCCACTCAGAAATAAATTGCATGTCTGCTTAAGATTCTTCCCCAGCAGTATTAGAATCTGTCCAGTAAAATGATACGAACTAAATTTGCCATAGTGCTAATTTACATTGCCATTAATGAGAACACAAGTTTTAAATCACAGACATGGAAGTACTATTGTGCATCCAGCTTATTTCAGCTCCACTCAGGGTGATAAGGTATTCTCTGGACAATTGTAATTATGAGTAATTTGTAAAAGTAATAAGAACTGCTTTTTATTACAGGCAATAAAAATCAATTCTTCATTCAATTATCTTTCCTGGCTATGATATGATAGCTGCCCTGAGTGAGTGCAACAGAAAAAAAAAGCTGAGCTAAGTCCTAAGCTATTAAAGAAAAAGACAATAGCATTATTAAAAAAGAGAATCTACCAAAATTTCATCTCCATTTCAACTCCTTGTCATAAAGGCATGCTAATAAATGCCTGGTAATATTGCTATAATCCTTTTTCTTTAAGACTCCAAATTCACATATATTCACATTATTTTAAACATAAGGCCAATTTCATTGATTCAGTAGGATAGTTCTCATGGTTAAGGTGAAGCAAAAATGTAAATCTTTGTAGAATCAGGGTGGCGGTGAAGAAAAGCATTTTGGATGTGATCAGTTTCCATGCAATAAAATTTGTTGAACTCAAACATTAACTCCAATTTTAACATGAATTAGAGTTTAAAAGCACAGATACCTTGTATTTAATAATATATGAGGCTTATGTAGGAATGTTTTTAATAGAGGAATGTATCTGGGGACAAGTCCCTGTTATTGATGTGTATTTATATCTTTTGTTTCTAACTTTTCTATTCAATTAGAGGAGTCTGAAAAAAAAAAAACAACTAGTGAATTTCCCTAAAATGCCATTTTAATAAAATAATTTTTTATGCTTTAGAGGTTTCTTTTAATACATTTTTGATTTTGGAGTACTGCAAACTGAGGAGAAAGGGTGGCAGATTTAATTTTGGAGGTGAAACCTGATTTTTGTTTATTTTAATTTCCTCATCTGCCAGAGATGTGAGATTTTCATAGAAGCAATAAATTGAGCCTCCAGTGCAGGAGGATTAGAGGATGGGTCACTTTGCCCCACTACTTTTGCTCTCCCTTCTTAATAAGAAGAACACATGGTACATTTGTTTGAATTTTGATTTAGAACATCAGAAATGAACGAAGGCTGTTTAATGGACAAACTATTCAAGGATTAGATGTATTGAAAATGTTTTTGGGGAGCCTATTTTTTACAACCTCTCAAACGTAAGACATCCCCATTAAGACAGCAGCGGATGTCAGCTTGTTAGTCAGGAGACATTTCTGAAGTATTTTATTAAAACAAGTCCATATAAAATATACACTCTGGATCATCCTTTCCTTAGCTTTTGTCAAATCTTCAACTCCTTACTTGCAGTATATCTCTTTTGTCTTTTAAATTGTACGTATTTTAGAAATTTGCCTTCTTGTCTTGAGTTCTGTATGTCACTGACTTAGAAGGGATTAAAAGACCAATAAGAAATATTTATTATAAAATCTCTTTTTTGGTGGATATCTGGGAAGAATGAGTTTGTAGTGAAGTTTTCACATCCTTCCCTGGAAAGAGCTGTGTTAACTGGCAACGTGTGCCTATAGGAACAGAAATGCACATCCTTCAGCTACAATTTCCAACCAAGTTTTTTCTTGGGAAAAGCTTCTCGAAGCACTGCTTTTAGAAGAACCTCCAATTCACAAGCAAAGAAGGAAGAAAAAGGAATCAGGGAAATCCGTATTAAACTGGAGCACAAGTTTGCTGCCCACATCAGTAGATGCATCTTAGTTCCCTTTAATCTTTCACAAAATTCTGATTTTAATCAGGTAAATTTGGAATAAGACACCCATAAAACATCAACACGAAATATTTAGGCTTTTGTGAAAAAATCACGGTAAAATGCTGAAGTGAGTAAACTATTTTTCAGAGTGCAATATGCCCAGCTCTGGTGTCAACAAGAGGTCATGCTCTCCTGCCTTCAGAAGTGAGTCTGAACACGACTGACATAACCTAACCCCAAAAACTCTCCAATGCAAATTTAGTGCCATAAAAATGGGTGCTCATTACACTGACAAGATCCAGTTTTAATATTGGCAGGTGTAATGAAATCTTCCTCTGCCTCACGGTTCCAGAGCCATACCACCCTTGTTATTGCACTCCTGAAACTCTCTTAAGTGGAGAACTTGGCATTTGCATAAATTCCCTGAGGATCTATGAAGAAAATGTTCCAAGGCCCTCCGGGGCTAAGTGTGTCTGGTGAAGTATATGAATAAATCTGTCAGTTTTGAATCATTAGGAATGGATGGCTTTAGGGTTGGTTTTAAATGGGTGCCAGTATATCTCAGGGTTTTACTAAAGACAGAGGATGGGCAGGATAAGCTTATATTATTCTTCTTGTTTGGAGAGGGTTAATGAGAGTGTTCCTAGGGATTGTGTGGGAGTTATAGAATCATAGAGTCATTTAGGTTGGAAAAGACCTTTAAGATTATCAAGTCCAACTATTAACCCAGCACTGCCAAGTCCACCACTAAACCACTTTCCTAAGCTCCACATCTACAAAGTAATTTGTATATACAAGTTAATCGTATTAACATGGAAAAATTGACACTCAAGCAGTGTCTGCTGAATGCCATATCCATTTTTTTCCTATTTTATTGCATGCAGTCCAGGTGGCATAAACCAGTACTGGCTCTGTTTGGATCTCTAAAATGACTTACAACTGCCTCATACTGTTTTTTTCTTTAGAATTAAAGACAAATCATATGGGTGGACAGAAGGTAGCACTTAAAAGCGTCGAGTTTAAGTATATATTATCTCAAATGTATATGTTGTGATCTCGTTAATGGGAATATGGACTATTGGTACAAGTCAAAGGGAAGTAAATCACTTCTCTTCTCTTAGAAGCCTGAACTCTCAGACTGAATTACATAGAGTATGGCCATAATACCTTTTTGTCCCTAAGAAAAGGTCTTCTACTGTCAGTCATAGCTTTCAATGTGATGTGCCTGGCTCTTCCTGAGATTCTCTGTCAGATCTTCTGTACATTTAGGTGAACAAACTCAAAAAAGTCCACAAGGTCCAGTACTGTGACACCT